ACGCGTGTTGAAACTTGTGTTGCCTTGTTGAACCGGTACAGAAATGAAGGAATATTGGATCGAATTGTAACATGTGATGAAAAGTGGATTCTTCATGATAACCGGAAAAGAAAAATGCAATGGCTGACCCCAGGTCAAATGCCACAACAGTGTCCTAAAGCAAAACTTACCAATAAAAAGGTAATGGTAACTGTTTGGTGGTCTCAGCATGGTGTTATTCACTATAGTTTTCTCCGATCTGGTCAAGCAATAACGGCAGATGTCTATTGTGCCGAACTCCGAACCATGTTGACAAAACTAGCAGTAAAACAGCCCCGACTCATGAATCGATCTTCACCATTATTGCTCCACGACAACGCGAGACCTCACACAGCACGAGAAACCATTTTGACCCTTCAGGAACTGCAGTAAGAAACCATTCGTCATCCTCCGTATTCACCAGACCTTGCTCCAACGGACTACCATTTTTTTCGTGATTTGGACAATTATCTACGTGACAAGAAGTTTTCTTCCCAGGAGGCAGTACAAAATGCTTTCACATAGTTTGTGCAGTCTAGATCGTCGGAGTTCTATCGCAAAGGCATTAATAACCTTCCCATTAGATGGCAGCAATGTATAGATAATAATGGCAACTATTTTGATTAAATAAATTTGTTCAAAATTTAAAAAATAAACAATTTAGATTTTCAGTACAAATCGGCAATTTCATACTTTAACCCCTATTATTCAGTAATCTCTAAATTCTAGGTTATTTTTGCTAAAGGAGCCACATTCTTCAAGATTCCTTAAAATATTTATAATAACCTTTCTGGTGGGCACTCTTTGGATGAAAGGATATTTGACCCTATACCATTCCAAAGCAGTTGTACAGTTTTTACCATTTAAATACATTTGTACTCTACATTGGATTAAATATCGTATTAAAAGTGACAATTCGCTATTAACAAACAAAATTATAATCATGTCATATTTTTTAAATTTGAAAAAAAAATTAAAAATAATGATATCATAATAATTTAGTTTTACTTAATTCTTATTTGGAGAGTAGTGGCCAGTTTCTTTTCTAATAAAAAATTTTCATTTAAAATGAGTTTTTTGAGGTTTTTGCGATTTCTGGCATTTCGAGTACTCTTATCTCAGTTGGTCCCATAGAGACTATTGATCCTTACCAGAGTGGCCGGATCGAATGGCATTGAAAAAGTTTTGTAAAAATTGCCTCTCTGAAAAAAATCTAGCTGACTGTACCATTTTTTCAAAATCTGCGAATGCCAATCAAAATATCTTCAAAATTCACGGATAGTCTTCTAGAACAGTTTTCCTGTAACTACAACGATTATGGTAACTGGCCTTGTTGCCCCGTCTCAAATTTGCACTCTGTATATGTGGGTTACTATATCGTCATTTATTATTTGATAAAATATTACATGGTTTATTCTATACAATTCAAATTTTACTATTGGTACACTGCGTATCCCGCGCTGATTAGGATTCCTATGTCTCAAAGGTTGTCTGGAAGAGATCGCTCACAGTGATAAGGCCGCCTTTGCACGCGTTACCTTCAAGCTGTTTACGTACTGTTCTTGGGTGTGAGCAATGAAGTGTATATCTATAACAAACAGCTGCACAATTAGCCCTCATGCCAGAACATATTTACATACCTTTTTCAAGTGACCTTAGTCGGATAAAAAGATGTCCGAAGTTCGTGTTGAAGACATTACTCTTGAACTTCAAAGTTCACATGCGCCCAAGCGGCTCAGTGGGAAAGGCGCTTGCGATAATGTATGCAAATCGAGTTGGCACAACTCGATTAAAATGTCATTTTATTAGTCGTTTTATTTTTTGACCAGTTTTCGATTCTGTTTATTGGCGGGGAAAGTTACGCAATTTTCTTGCTAACCTAGATTCAAAAGGATGAATACCTGTAGAGATGTGTTTTTTTTTTAAATAAGAAATTATAAATACTAGACTTCTACAAAATCTTGTGATAACAACTCAAGTGGTTTTTTGTAAACAATCAATCAAATATTGCGCCCACTTTTTCTTCATACACAAAATTGTAACAGATTACGTTTTCTTCAGTAAATATAAAAAATTCTAACATATTGGAAAATGGCAAGAACAGCAACGGTTTTACAGACAGTGCATACAGTGTTTGCGTAATTTTTAACTTAGTTTCCTCAACCTGATTTCGGTGTCAAGTTCAAGAAGTATAACTTAATATTGGAGTGTAGTGTCCTGACTTATTACTTAATATTTCAAGTAAATACTCCCGCATACTTAAATAATATAAATTGCTACCGAAATCATACAGAGAAAACTAATGTGAATTACCTATTTTCAAAAAAAAAAAACATGAATATCGTGATCATGAAACATCATGATATTCAAATAAATAGTCCAATTAATACAGCGACATCTTTTGTCAGCATTTGGTAGCTGCAAATGCTAAGTGAAGAAACTTGATAAGTTTCTCACAGATGACGCTGACAGCAACAAAAGCGTCTAAAACCCAATACAAAGATTTGTAACAAACACATGTAAAATTCGTAAAATCTGTTGACTCGGTCTATGCTTCAGACCAGTCATATCGAAAGATTTTTTCTATGTGTTGTTCGATCTTTGTATCAATAATAGTTTTACTGACGTTAAATTAGTTAATTTAATCTTCGCCATCTTTACCATTAGATTCTAACTAGAGCATTCGTGCAAAAAATTAGTGTTGATTATATCCAATTTCTAACCTAATCGTTTGTTACATGCTTCACACTGGCGCAAAAACTCGTTCTTGTCTAACGTATCCATTATTTTTTCCCTCAGCGGGATGTCTGTAAGTGTATTATTGTTTTTAAATATAAAACACTGTAATAAACATAATCATTGTTACGAAATGTTTAATAAATAAAAAATATTGAAAAAAAGAACTAATGTTACGTAGTTTGGTGGGCTGGCTTTATATATTATTCGGATGAGCAAAGCTTTAATATATCAGATTTAGTTTTTCGTCACATCACTCCACCGATTCATTCCCGCCAAAAACAATGCACGCGTATACGGACGCACAACTAAATTAATAACTACTACGCTTCCGCGCCTTTTTTTTTCATTTCTTATCACATGTGTCCTGTTTTGTCAAAGCGGGACATTTTTAAATATTTTGCGTACAGTGGGACACGAAGCTTAAAAGCGGGACGTATGGTCACGTACATCCAATTTCTAACCAAATCGTTTGTTACATGCTTATTCTAAAGCGTCGTTTCCACTACGTCGCACTGGCGCAAAAAGTCGTTAAAGAATCAATTCTGAACGAAACAAATGCCAACTATCGAAGAGACCGGAAGAGAATAAAATTGTAATAACCGCCATTAGAAAAATATAATTTCCAAAACACCTCAGACATTGTAGACAACAATCCACCAAACATTAATAGTCGCTAAGTGCCTTTAATGTTAGGCAATAAAAGCTAAATGCTAACTTGTTGACACTGTGACGGGTCAGGAGGTCGCGGTGTCGACGTTATGTCATCGCTAGACGGAGACGTTTATTAATATATTTTTTACAATTTAGCTACTATTTGGCAAAAAAACAAATCGAACAATGACGCGACGTGGAAAATTATGTTAAGCGGTAATAAGCGACATTTTGGCATCAAAAGCGTATTTTATTTCTATATAGCGACAAAAAGAATCGCTACTTTTTGGTGCCTGTTTTATTAAGTTTCGTTTTTTTAACATTTATTATATTTTTTCTGATCAGACGTTATGAACGCGTTAGGGAGATGCTATACGGGCGTTGCGTAGTCGCAACTGCGTTGATTTCAACGGGCTGAATGCCACACGTATGGCATGTACTTCTGATTTATATGTAGTACAACGCAGTTGCGACGATGTAACGCCCGTGTGACATCTCCAATACATACTCAACGATAAGTTTCTCATTTCAGGGTGGCTGTGCTATGAGCATTAAATTTTTGGCAATAAAATGGACTATACTTATATAATAAATGAGTATCATTTTTTTTTCATTTGACCTCCATCTTACCCGATGGAAAGTGACGCAAGAGGAGGTCGACGATGGAGCATGCACAGCTAAATAATGCATATTCTCGCCCCTATTGAAAAGGCCCAAGTTATAGCATTCAGGAAATAAGTCTGTAGTAACGTCCGAATTTTCGGAAAAATATATTAATAACCTCAGTACAGAGTACGAAGAAACCGACCTCAAAAGTTCGTGGCATTACATCTATTTGCCAAGTTTTATTGAAATCAGTTACCGGAAAGTGCGCGAATCCATCCCCTAGTTTGCCACCCTTAGCGGTGGAATATTTTTTTCAAATTTAAATGGGACCATTTCTGAGGTACCCTCTTTACAACAAAAAAATAATCACAAAATCGGTTATCGCGAAACATACATACAAAAACACCTCTTTTTTTGAATATGAAGTGAATATACAGTTTTAAACTTTTCTTGCGAAATTTGCTTTAGTCTAATAATGCCTACTACGTGCAAGACGTTCTTTAAAAGTACAAACGACCATACAACATAAACATAAACAGGTATATTCAAACCTAGATTTGCTATGGTGCCGTGTGTCCAGCATAAACCGGAAATTTATAACTGACGCTGTAGCCGCGCATGTCTATTATAGCGCAACTGAATGATACCCAAAGATGTAGACTGGAGCAAAAAAAAAATTGTTCTTGTACTTTTTTCAGTAGTATTGTTGTTATTTTATTATTTATATTTGCGTTTTTGGTCTTTAGAAATCAATAAGACATTGTAGATCGCTAGACATACGAGAAATTATTATTTTATTTGCACACAACACAGTTCTTGATAGACGCCATCTCAAAATAGCGGACTGTTGGAGACAGTACTGGAGCATGATTTGGTGTTGCCAGTATAGAAAATGTTGGTCATTTACTCCTGGCTCTTTGTTCGTTCTGGCTCTTGATATCATAAAAGAAAAACGTAAAATCTCTGGTACATAATACATAACTTACCATAATCGCTCAAGTGATCTAAGTGCTCCGGTGCTCTCTTGATGATAACGTGATGTGCGCCGTTCAAAGCCTCCTGCAGTATTTCTTGGTCTTCTCGTTTTCGCTTTACTGAAATGATTAGGAGTAGGATAGGAATCAAATACACACTAGTCTCAGGAAGAAAAAAGAGGGCTTGGCGGATCCCCCCTATGGAGCTCGTACCATAGGGCCGATCCGTTCTGTCCTGGTAGAGTGGGTGAGCCGGTCTCACGGGCCACTGTTGTACCACCTTGTGCAGGTGCACCGGGCACGGCTGCTTCGGTCACCTGCACAAGGTGGCGAGAAGGAAACCGTCCCCGTCGTGCCACGAGTGCGGCGCTGCGGATGACACCGCGCAGCACACCCTAGAGGTGTGCAGCCCGTGTGATAAGCAGCGCCGTACTCTGACGGGGACAATAGGGCAGGACCTGTCGCTGCCGGGCGTGGTTGCCGCCATGCTCGGTAGCAAGGAGTCCTGGGAGGCGGTGGCCTCCTTTTGCGGAGAGGTTATGTCGCAAAAAGAGGCTGCAGAGCGGGTGCGCGAGGACGCGGCAGACGCACACCCACTTCAGCGCCGACGTACGGGGAGCAGGCGAAAGCAGTTCGCTGCTCGCCTGATCCCCTAGTGAGGCCAGCGGGCTCTGGACAGGTACTCCGGAGCCTGCATTGCACGACCTGACTCGTCTGGGGCGGGTCGGAGGACAACTGACCTGCCCCTCCGTTGGCGCGGGAGCCCTGGCGCAAGCTAGGGCGGCCGGGCGGCGTCGTGGTAAATGTGCACCGACCCCACGGCGCCGACTCTACCGGCAGAAGGTAAACCCTCCAGTCTGGAGGGAGAGTCCCCACATAACCCCTGAGTCTCCCTGTGCTCAGGGGTATCTATAAAGATTTCCCCCCCGTAAAAAAAAAGGAAAAAAATATACTGTCTTAGAAATAAAATGGTAATACACAAGGCGATGTTCGAACTATCCTATGATACAGACAAATGTAGTATACAAGAGACTACACAGTAATATGTCTATAATCTATATCCAGTTCTGAAATTTCCTTAACCTACGTTGCAGGTCCTTTACACGCGCTATGATCAAGGCTGAAATGATAAAGTCATCAACCAGTTATGTCTAACATTAATGTAAACAACACCATTTTTCACTATAATTACAAAATTATTAATTCAAATATATTTTTTAATTTACCAAAGAATATTATGCAACATCACATAGTTGCTCTGATCCCAATGTAAGTGACTAAAGCACTTGTTTTAAATCGGAAACAACGACGGTAACACACCGAGACTAGAGACAATATAGAAAAGTTAGTTTTTCTATATTGTCCCGACCGGGAATCGAACCCGAGCTCTAAGAGATGGCGACACCTTGAAAACCAGTGTATAACAATGTGAATTGTATTATATTAAGTTTATTCATCAAAGAGAAATGACATATTAAACATAATTATTATATATTTATATTTTGCCGGGTGTTTTGTAGAATAGGACGAAAGCGCCATTTCGAGTTTGTTTTCAGGGGAGCATGTTTTACATTTAACGATAGTTTTAAAATATTTACGTCCTGTTTTAAAATTAAATTTTAGTTTTAATTAAGTTTCAGTCTTAAAATTGAATTTAAAACAGGATGTATATATTTTAAAACAGTCGTGAAAAACTAAGACATTTATTTATTTATTTATTTACATGCTCCCCTGGAACAATTTTTCGAAATGACGCTTTCGCCCTTTCTTTCATTACAGCTATGATATATCGTCTATATGTATAATCTTTGGAATTTATAGTTGAAAATAGAATTATATTTGCAACTCAGTATATGTAAATATATATATATATATATATGTATCTCCGATCGGTCGTTGTAAAAACCGGAAACCTGGTTACATTCTTTGAACTGTATGCGTCTTAATGAATCAGTTTATTTTATTGTTACTATCTTAGAGCATATAGGACGGGAGGCGCTATTAGCGATATTTCTCGAACAAAACTTTCTGCCACTTTCAGAGGGGCGGGTGGTAATACTACAACAAACAGGTGCACACAAATGCAATATTGAGTTGTGTCACTATGGTTGAGTTTTGTTTGTGTGAGAACACAAACAAAACTCAACAACACTAACTTATTTTTACACAGAACAGGCCTTTAAAAAAATCGATTCTCATGCCAGAGACGGAAAGTTATCGACGTGATGATATCGATATGTAGGTATTACGTACTGGTTAATCACCACGTATATGAAATTTTATTCCAACCTTGCCTAGACTGGATGTAGCGAATTTCTTTTTGCAACTTTGTATGGCACAAAGCAAGACAGCATATTTCGTGGCGCACTTGACGCGGTGAATTCAATATTGGAAATGAAAAAAACGTCGATTCGAAAGTAGCGTTTATTGTGCGATGGACTTTTTACTTGTACTTAACAGAGGGGACTGCTTATCGATAACGCCTCCAGTCCTATACTCTAGCTATAAAATATCTATAACTGATGCATACTTGACGTATTAATATTAATAAATGCGGTTAAACGCGACGAAACAATTCAGTGATCCTTGTTAGCTGTTTTTTTATAATATCAAGTGACGGGACAAACAAGTCCTGCGTCTGGTAGTAAACGACATGCCTGTCCAAAACAGTTGCAGTGCCACTCAGTGCTTTAAATCACAAAGATTTGAGGGTACGAATTGAGAGGCCAATGCACCCGTCAATTTAAGATATCAGTTGGCAAGTCCCATGTGACTGTAATTTCATCAGCACCCTTACCCTTCAAAACTGAAACGCAGTAATGTTCACATTATTGCTTGGTGGCAGAAGTAGATAAGGTAGCAATACTTTCTTGGACGAACTCTTTGACAAGGAGTTCTGCCGCTACCAAATTGCTAAGGTCACGGGCTTACTGGAGATGTGATGTTACATCTCTGTCTCGGCTGTTGAACCTTCATACACACATACATAAGCTCACGCCCTAGTCCCACAGGAGGTGTAGGCAGAGACCACGTAACGCCACTTTACTCTACCCTGACACAATTCTCGATCCTCACATACATCAACTACCCTCTTCATACAACTTCTTTTATTCTTGTCACTTAGGAACCCAGCCTTTTTGACCACCACTGATCTGGTCAATGTAAGTCCTTCTGTGACGTCTTTCTCTCTCTATCTTAAAATCCTTCCATCCACATTTGAATCATAAATCTGTTTCCTAATTCTTCTTACATCCATCCGCTCTACGTGCTCAAACCACCTCAACGTTTCTTTCTCTATTCTAGTCACTACATCCTCTATTAAGCTACATCTTTCACGTATTATTGTATTCTTCACTCTATCACTCAACTTTATTCCACAAATTTCACTTTCATCCATGCTCGTAATCTTTTTCAAAGTCGTTTATGTATGCAAATATCTAATAAATTGTTTCATCGCATTTCTCCCCGTTTGTGTAAATATTTGACATAGCTAAATACGTACCAATAGGTAACCCGGTGTCAATGGACACCATGTCAGCCATACTGGCCGGGTCCATGAACATCTCGTCGTCCTGGGCGGGTGATGTCATCGAGTCGGGGATCGGTCTGATCACCAGATCGTGACCTATCGAACCTTCCTGTCAATGAAATGAAACCTGAATATGCAGATAGGCTACACTCCCGGTCACATAATTCGAGCCACCTTGCATTTTTATTCTTAAAGGGAAAGAATAAAAAAAATATTGTTATCATCGAAGAAACGTTGAGTATGTAATAATAAATAATGTATCAGACAATCACACCAATTACCTGATCTTAAACCAAGGGTATTCTCTCTTCTGAGTATCAAAGCAAAGGAATTGATTCCGGGGCACTACCCAAGACACCCAATCCAGAACCAATTTCTAAATTGGTAACTAATTTTTAAAGTTCAATTCCCAAATTGGTCCTCCAGCGTCCACATTGCAAACCGTTGAGCCACCGTTTTTAGATCCATACGTTTTTAGATCAATTAAACATTGTATAAAGTCAGGGAGTTTAATTATGAAAATGCAAAGTGGCCCGAATTTTATGTCCTGGAGTGCATGAATAATCCATTGTCCTTTAGGTACCTTTCGTATTTTTGAGGCAAAACCATCAAGAAAGATTTTTCTTTAATTTCTTCTCAAGTCTCCAAGTGAGTGGTGTTGATAGAAGTGCTACCTGACTACACGTCACAAACTCAAACGCAGTGGAAGTTTGCTTTTATCATAAGCTTCTTATGCATCATAAGCTTAGCCTATCTCCAACCACTACAAATGACGTGATTACTTTTTGCTAATCATCAATATTCCAATTTTCCATTAGTCGAACCGTAATTGCTGTTATTCATAAAAAAAACAAGGCTTTACAACGAGAGATTTATGAAAACCTTCGGTTTGAACATTCTAAATCTAAGATCCAAAATATTTAAAGGAGTAATAAGTAATTCAATATATTCATCCAGTTCCTCTGCAGCTGTATTAAATAAATAAGTAAGTTATCAGCTAATTATGAACAGCAAATCTTTCTTTTTACATTACAATAATGTGTTACTTTATTATATCATCATCGTTAGTGTGATAAAGCCTCGTTACCAAAATGACAACTTTTCAAAAGCAAGATTTAAAATTATAGGAACGAAATTAGTCGATAACTTTTTTGTATTATTCTTATTTTAGCCCTTTTGACCTGTGGCTTTCTTCCACCAAGCGTACGCTCTGTTTTATTGTCTATATAATAAATTAATTAATAAAGGACTGTGGGAAAAATGGAGATGCTGAAATTTAGATTACAGTCATCGTCATGTTGTAGATATTTAAAGAATTTACTTCTATAAAGCTGGGTTTTCACTCGGACACTACTCGTAGCGTGTACTTTGTTTTCTAACCTTTCATGATTTTGTACTTCAGCCATTAACTATATCTGCTACAACTTCTAGACCTCATAGCAGCAGATCAGTCGTCATCATTTTCATTCTACAAGGAGACAAATGCTACATGGACGCTCACGTACTCATAACATGAAAACCAAAATCCGAGTGGACTCCTATACGATCTAGCTCGTATGAGCGCACTCGGCTCGAGAGTACTCGTACTATAGTGAAAACTCGGCTTTAACCACAAGAATATTGATATGAATGCCATCGTTGCTATTAGAACTCTCTAGCTCTCGTGCCCTTCAGCAAGACAAACGATAGCCCAATTTAACGTTCATTGCGGTTAAAAGACATTCATTACCACCGCAAGCATGTCAAAAATTCTCAAATCTACCCGTACTAAATCCAATGTACGATGCTCTTTGACACTTCATACTTCTTTGATTGATCACTAGCTTTACATTAAGTGTCCACAATACTGGTTGCTTTAGTTTTATAAAGCTTCGAAATGATGATTTCACGATGTTTGACTTTAAAGCTAGACATTTCATCTAATTAAAATCAAGATTTAAAAATGCACAAATTTGAGTGTACAACTGGGTCAGCGACAGTTTTATGAGCGGTTTCCAACGTGCAGGTACTTTCTTCACGAAGGCTCTTTTTTGTTGTTAAAGCAAGTGAAAATTAGGAAACTAAACTGCTCATCATAAGAAAAAAACTTAGTGATGCTGGGTCTCCAGTAGAAAACAACACACGATGCAAACATTTTCAGACCCCTGCTATATACTGCTGTAGTAACATAGACTGGTGTGGATTAAATTTGTTATTTATTCATCATCATCATCACCATCAACTAATTTACACGTCCAACTACTGGGCACTCCTCTCAGACGAGAGTTTTAGTTTATAGTTTGCCATGGTGGCCTAATGCGGGTTGGGGACTTTACACACTTTCAAATTAAATATCGCACATAAATTTCGAAAAATACAGAGATGCGAACCCGGATTCGATCCCACGAAATCTGCTTGAGAGGCGGTAGGCCAAACCATTAGTCTACCACGGCTTCTTATGTTACTTATTATAGAAAAGAAATAGAAGAAACTAAACACTTCAGAAATCAGACTCTTCCTTTGCCACTTCCACGGTTCATTTTAAACTGGTAAAATCATAGCAATACGTCCAAGGCGCAAACCATGCGAACAATGGCGTCGACAAGTAGACTAAGGTCGCATGAGCTTGCGCAAGTGACAGATAATACTTTACAATGGTAATTTTAGTCTTAGCGAGGGCTTTTAACGTTTTGGGCGTTTGACGACGTTAACTGACTCTTTTGGAGTCCAGACTAAACGTCGTCAAAAATTTGACAATTTGGATTATTTTGTTTCACTTTAAAGAGTATATTAATTTGGTTCTATATTTCGAACAAGTAACTGAATGCAGTATCTCTTCGTGACTTAATCACGACTATGTTTAATTGAAATCTACTTGTTGCATTACAGTTTACAGGTACATCCTTTGCTTAGGAATAAGATACAGACAGGATGCATAAATTCTGCACTTATCCCGAAACCGGGTCACGTTCCAAGGACTATACTTCCATAAATTTATTCATACATCCAATGAACATATCTTCTATATGCAGATTAACGATCGCAAAATATGTTATCGATATTTCTAAGTGGGTATACATATGTCTGGCCAACACATAACTAATTGGAGATTAAGTACGTGATCAGTTAAAAGATGAAGATATTTAAATGGTGTGACATGGAATTTATGAATTTGGGACGTGCAATGACTGAATATGTCCCTTTTATAACTGGAAAAAGGAATATTATAAAACGTCCTTGAGTATATATCACTTCTTAATCTAGGCATTTAAGAATTCCTAAGAGTATCTAACTCTGAATAGGATTCCTCTAATACAATGTTATATAATGCAATATTCATCTGGTCCAATGCAATGTTCAAATGGTCGTCACTTGCAAAACCACCGTCTTTTCTATTAATTCTATAATCATATACAATATTTGATACTATGGTACTTATACCACCTAATTCATTCCTAAATTTGGTTTCTTGTTCGTTCCTTTAGTAATACGTTAACTTATTATGTCCGAAAGTTATCAATTACCATTGTAGCTAAAATCAATAAGGAATTACCGAAACTTGAACTTACCACCACTATTTTGTCAAGTTTCGGGTGTTTTCTAATGAGCAGCGCTGCACCATTTTCTTCATCTTGGTACACCTCACCCAGCGCTTCCATATTATCCTGTAAAAGCAATAACTTTTTTAAGTAAATTCGATCAACATAAGCAAACAAAAACCTTCGAATAAATCAAAAACAAATTACGAAATTGACGTATTTTACGACTCATTTATAGTTCAAACGGAATGTGACAACTGCTTACGGGTGGAGTATTAGGGGTTTTGTTCGATAATCTCATAGGTAGTGTTTCTGTACTATTTTCTCTAAACATTATTTTTATTTTCTTTTTAAATTAAAGTTTTTGATGTTATCTTTCGTAATTGCTATTTAACATGACATTGCTGTAATAATATGACATACCGGCTGTATAAAAAATTATATCACGAAACAGTGTTTCTCTATGTATGTGCCGATAGTGTATCTAAATAAATTAATTAATGTCTACGACACCAATACGTCCGATCATATTAACATACATTCGATTACTTTTGTACCATTAGAGCTCCTTGTGAAAGAGTTCTTCCAGGGAAGTACTACCCAAGGTGGCACCTTTCCTATTTCTGCCGCGAAGCAGTAATGTCAGCATTACTGTGTTCTAGTTTTGAAGGGTAAGAGTACGCTGATGAAATTACAGGCACATGGGACCTGTCAACTTATGTCTCAGAGTGACGGGCGCCGTGTCAGTGACTCCCAGATCTTTGCGATTTAAAGCTCTGAATGGCACTGTACCCGTTATGGACAGGCGTCTAGCTTACCATCAGACGCACGACTTGTTCGTCCCGTCACTTGATATCATAAAAAAAGACTTAATGAAAATACAGACTTTTTGGTCAACAAAATTACTTAATTTTTTTATCTTAGGTATATAAAATTCTACAAAAACGCATAAATTACGGATTCACGTAAAATTACAGAGATACTTTACTAAGTAATTAATATTTACTTTTCTTTCGAAATACATCTACTATTATAATACGGAATCGCATTGCAAATTCTTCACAGGATAAGGCAAAATGTCAATTATTATCATATAGGAAAGGGTCTTAAGAAGGACGACTTGTGACCGTATTTGCATAGATAAACGAAGAATTTACATAAAAGTTTGTACCGGAGAATTTTAATTAGTATTTTTCATTGTGAACAGTATATATGAGACGACAGAATTTAAAACAATTGAACGGAAGAACACTCAAGGTTTGGAGACTTCCAGTCATCTAAGAAAATGTTGAATGGATTTCGGAAACAAATATTAGTTCCGCTTGTGTATAAGCTTGTCTGAAACATATAATTATCGTGAATGATGTTTGGGGTGTGTTCACCTATAAATAAAATTCATTTCATGCAATCTTCTGCAGAACAAACGAAAAGGAACCTTTTCGGTGGCTTTATACGATTATTTTTGACCCCTTACGACCCAGTGCAGTGCAGTGTTGCCAGATGATTACATTTCTTACATTTTTCGTAATTTCTGACCTTATCGCGTATTATGTAAGTAACTTTTGTTGTTAAGGCTATTTTCAGAACGGACTTTTGAAAGACGTTGAGTTTTTTCAAATTTAAACTACTTTTTCATTTTTTATTGAATTGATATTAAATTTTTTTTTTGTAAAATTACTCCACTAGTTTGTTATAATTATAAGTATTAATACAAAGAAAATTCCTTCGATCCGGCCGGATTCGAACCGACGTCTTCTAGCATAACGCTATACCAACTAAGTCACGGAACGAACCAGCGGACCTCACGAATTTTTCTATGTGTTTGTTGTCGTGTCTTTGTATTTGGTTTTTCAACGACTTTTTAGTTGTAGCGCCATTTATGAGAAAGGTATGCTAGAAGACGTCGGTTCAAATCCGGCCGGATCGAAGGAATTTTTTCTGAGTATTCGATCATTGTATTAATAATTAAACTATATTTATTTAGTTTAATTATTAATACTATAATTAATACTATACTATAATTTATTACTATTATTATTAACATAATTGTATATATTCGAACGGTACAGTGTAATTACGAATTCTTCTACGTGCTTGTTGTAGATCTTTGTCTGTGACCGCTAGTTCATTCCGTGGCTTTGTCTGGCACGGTTTGCTGGAAGACACTGGACCGAATTCAACCGGATCGAAAGATTTTTTCTTAGTATTCGATCTTTGATTAATAATTATAACTAAATAGTGGAGTAATTTCACAAAAATAATTCATTATCACGGTGGTCAAACATCGTGACGTTCAACAAACTATAAAAATTCAGCTATATTTGTTATTGCGAATCCTAAATAATTTAAGAACGCTCCCAAATCAGACGAAAAAGTAACTCAGATATGTCACAAACAATTATTGGTTATAGCTTGATTTTTCTGGAATGTACTTACTTTTTTCTATAATATTTAGGCATATATGTATACATTTCACAGTTGGAATTTTTAATTAAAAAACGAACTTGTAAAAAGTTTTGCAGCAAAAATGTAACTTTTCAGGTAACGAAATATAAAGAAGAAACATAAATATAATTATAGGCTGCTGAATGTACCTAGATAAAGCCACTACAGTCGAACTAGGAAATCCTCTATCTCAACATGTAGTGTCTTCCCCTTGTTAAAAGCAATGTACACGAAATTTGCAGAAGGAAAGTGATTACTTAAGATTTGAAATTAATATTATTATAATATGAATTAATTCTGATCGAAAATTTCTAACACAAAGGAACAGTTGAAAACAGCCTATTCTTTAATCTCTTCCTTTCTACTTTGCTGTGTCCGAAAGGGTTCATGATGTGATGCGTACTACGTAACACTACGCCACGTAACACATTATACACCATTATGGAATACAAATAAAGGATATATAAAATATACACTAATGGATCAATAGTGCACAATAATTGAACATAAAGGTGAACACCCACATTTGGGCATGGAAGAGCGTTTAGGTCATCGCACCACATTAGTTGATTGCGGATTGGGGGCTTTACCTGTGATTTTAAACCTTCTATATGCAAGTTTCCTCACGATATTTTTCTCCACATTTAAAGCAAAATATTACTAAAATATGAATTATAATAGTGATTGACTTACATATGATGTAGAGAAAATTGTCCTTCCATTAATTACCATTTACATATGCCCTTCTAAAACGGAAAATTTTATTACAAACCAAGATGTGCAAGTTACCATGAAACCATCTCTCTTGTTAACTAAAGCAGATTTTGTGTTTGCGTGGGAAGATGCAAAATCGTGACTTTAATATGACGGACTAGTTCTTTTAAATTATAAATTGAATTATGTAAGTCGACTTTCGAAGTTCAGTGACTGAATAATACATTTTTGGGATACTATATAACAATGTAAGAAGGAGCTATCATATCAACAATACTTTAGTGTAAATGCATCCATCTACTGACTCAGATTAGGGATGGAAGGAATCACTTAAGCTTTCAAGGCTATTGCTTCGTGTTAAAAAGAATGATTAAAAAACACTCTTTGGTTTTCCAAATGGGTTCATGTTTAGAAACCACAACATATGACAACATAATATTTAACTGAACATCTCTCTCTCTATTCAGTTTGGATTTTATATAACTATGCGGAGGACCAAAGAGCTCGCTTAGTTAAGAATAAAATGTGTTGATCAAAGTAATTTTTTAATTAATCTATAATATATTCGGTATTTATTCATAATTATTAACTCTTGTAATGTTTTCCATTTACGAAGAAGGTGCTGTATTAAATAAATACAGCACATTCATCCCTAATATCATAATCCTATCATTAATGGAATTTGCCGTGTAGAGGTGAGTCACTATTACCACCATCATCCTCTTGCCCCTTATTCCATTTATTTGTCATCTTCCCCGGTTCATCTCTAAACCCGTCACCTCATTGTTTATTTTCTTCATAGATTTAATATGTTTCACACCATGTTCCCATTTAACATCACTATCCATCTTTATATTTAACATTCCCTATGGACTGAATAATAGAATGTCCATATATGGACTGAATAATAGAATGTCCATATATGTGTCAAGATGACTAACAGAGTAATTTAAATAATAATCGGACAATTACAAAGATATGCTAATATTATTTACAGCTACAATTATCACAGCATTTATTACATTTATTGTGTAATAAAGTATGTAAAATATTAACAAATAAAAGAAACACAAAAATCTGTTGATACATATATATCACTTCTTTGGATCAATCATTAACATTTTAGTTATTGTGTGACCAGACAGGGATGCTGATCCACATAAAGTCGATGAGTGATTTAGTCAGACTAGGATTATCCCCATAACACCCGTTAGTCAACTTTATAAACACGAAGTAGATTTGATTATTTGATAAAAAGCCCTTTTGTAGGACTATTCAAATAATGAAACGCCTAAGTTTTTTAATTCAAATGCGCTAAGTATTTTCAACTTAGTAACGAATTCTATATTTATGCATTTATAATACTAGTAAGATGAGCAAACCAGCAAAAATCAACTAACATTCACAAACTTCCGCAGTCTCTTCGATGAATATCATCCTCACGACTTTGCTAAAGCTTTTTACAAAGTGAACATGCCTACAGATTGTGTTTTATGTCTCGCAACTAGTTGTAAATATGTTCACTTTGCATATGGGATACTCCGAGGCCTTTTTGATCGTAAAATATGAAAAACGGATATTTATAGTCATATGAGGAAGTAATTAATAATGGTGTCTCGCAAAGCAGTAAACTTGTACCGAGTCTTTTCAATTGATGTTAGAAATAAGTCTTCTTAATTGTGTGAAACAATTTTACAGCAATATATATACTATATGTCAGTTACGTCATTCAATAATCGTAAACCTAACACAACATTTATCATAAACCAATTATTAATAAATGTCATTCTATTATATATATTTTTATACGAATAAACCTTTATATGACTATGAAGTGCCGTGCTACAAACATAGCAATGCAGGTCAACAAAACTAAAACTTGCTGCGAAATAGCAATAATGATTAAAACTTCATTAAATCTATACGCTTGGATAAGTTGGTATTGTAATTGTTGTGCAGCAATTATG